AACAAACCAACAGAATCCTTGTGTCACAGAATTTACTTTCTAGTGGGAGAGATAGATGAGAAACATGATTAAAAAAATAAATTGCATGGCTTGTTACACAGTGATGGATGCTAGGGAGAAAAATAAAGGAGGAAAGGGAGTAGGGAGTGTGTAAGTATGCATGTGGATGTGTGTGGGTGTTGTTGCAATTTTAGATAGGCTGACTAGGGAAGACCTTACTGAGAAGATGAATTTTTGAGTGAGGACCAGAAGGAAGTAAGGGCGGGAGCCATATGATTTCTGAGACTGGAGGATTCTAAGCTGTAGGAATAGTAAATGCAAAGGTGCTGAGGTCAGACTGACCTGGCCTGTGTGAAGACTGGTGACGAGGCCAGTGGGCCCTGAGAGGAGGAAGCCAGGGGGTGAGGAGTCAGAGAGGAGGTTGGAGGGGAAACAACAGGGGTCAGATTGTTTACAGTCTTATAGGTAAGGACTTTAATTTATACCTAGCGGTACATTGCAGCTAGTGAAAGCTTGGATGGAGGAGGGGTGGCCTCATCTCCGGTTGGTTTTAAGTGGACTGTGTTGAGAATAAACCGAAGCGGGGCGGGCAGAAGCAGGGAGATGAGCCAGGAGACAAGTGCAGTAATCCAGCTGAATTTGTCAGGGAAATGAGTGGCGGTTTATAGGCTGTTTATGGTCTGTAACATATCCTTTACAAGCTGAGTTACAAGTACCAGAGCCAAAAATTGCCTGAGCACGTCATTGTTTACCCTGAATCAGGCTGGCACAGACAAGCAGGTGGAAAACTGTTCCAAGTACAAGTGCATAAAACGGTGAGTTGCCCTGCTTCTTGGCCCAGATCTCCCATAAAGGAATCTTGTGTTTACATTGCTGGAGGTTTGTGGTTCCTTCCCATAATTGCTTGAAAAGAACCACTGAATCTGCATTCCCCTTTTCGCTTTCTTACTACAACAATAATTGACTTATTACATTTATTTAGGAACTTTGCCCATTCTAACAATTAATTTAAAGTTTATAGGAAACTAAAAAGCTCTCTCATATATGAGATTGAATCCTGGAACAGAAAAAGGACATTAGTAAAAAAAACTAGTGAAATCTGAATAAAGTCCTGTTTAGTTAATAGTATTATACTGTTAATTACTTAGCTTGATTAAATATACCACAGTTAATGTAGTAAATATAAAATGTTAACATTAGAAGAAGCTGACTAAAGGGTATATGTGAACTTCCTGCACTATCTTTGCAATGTTTCTGTACATTTAAAATTATTCCAAAATAAAAAGTTTATTTTAAGAAACCTTCTGAAAGGCAAAAGAAATTGCATGTGTCAACATTTTGAAAGTATTTTGTCAGAGATTAAGTTGGTCGACACATATATTCTGCATTTTTAAAAATTTTTTATCTTTTTTTTGTTGTTGTTGAGACAGAGTCTCACTCTGACACCCAGGATGGAGTGCAGTGGCGTGATCTCAGGTCTTGGGTCACTGCAACCTCCACCTCCCTGGTTCAAGCGATTCTCTTACCTCAGCCTCCGGAGTAGCTGGGATTACAGGCACACGCCACCATGCCCAGCTAATTTTTGTATTTTCATTAGAGATGGGGTTTCACCACGTTGGCAAGGCTGATCTTGAACTCCTGACCTCAGGTGATCCACCCGCCTCAGCCTCCCAAAGTGCTAGGATTACAGGCGTGAGCCACCATGCCTGGTCTATCCACTCTTAAAAATATTATTACCCACCTACAGTTAGAAAATAATCTTTTTTCATCATTTCATTTAGATTAAGCTGCATTTCAAATCCTTCACTTGCCTCCTGCATTAAATGTACACGTTTCACTTATATTCTCAGAGATCTACTCTGCCTGAGAATCAGATACTTTTAAAAACTAGTATTTAACAGTGCAAACTGTTGTCTTTTATTGATTTCCTTTCTTCTTGCCTTCCTCCCATCCTCTATGTCTTCATTCTTGCTATGCATCACATCTTCACTGAACAAATACAACTGAATATAACTGGCCCATAAATTATGTCCCCATTTCCCTCTTTTCTACACTTAAATATGACCTTTATTTGTTCACTGTTGTAAGGCTTTGGGGGAAAGAAATTTGCCATTGTGTTAAAAAAGAAAAAAAAATTCTGTTGCTGGATGTGGTGGCTCATGCTTGCGATTCCATCACTTGGGGAGGCTGAGGCAAGAGGAATACTTGAGGCTAGGAGTTCAACATTAGCATGGGCAACATATTGAGACCTTGTCTGTACAAAACATTTAAAAAATTAGCTGGGACTGGTGGTATGAATGTGTAGTCTGGGTTACTCACGAGGCTGAGGTGGGAGGATCACTTGAGTCCAAGAGTTTGAGGCTGCGGTGAGCTATGATCCCGCCACTGCACTGCAGCCTGTGTGACAGAGCAAATCCTTGTCTGGGGGAAAAATAAAAAATCTAATCTTCTCAACCTCTGATTGTTTAAGCCAGAAATAATGAATGCAAATGTCTCCAGGGATAAAGTAAGTGTTGTAAAAGTATGAGGCAATCTAGGGTAATAGATATAAACACACTGGCATAGCCTACTTGGGCTTAAGATGGTTCTGATTTTGATTATTCCTGGAAAGTTGTACCTTTCCTAGAACCTCAGTGGAAGATGTGAGTCTGTTTAGAAAAGGTGCTATATAAATTCAGATTATGGTTTAATCAGGTAATGTGGGAAAAATGTGACCAGTTGCAGTTTGAAGAACATAGTAACCAGTAGGAAGAAAAATTCATGTTTCTGCATAAGGCAGATAAAAGATTGATGAGATTTTAGCTCTGTAGTGAATCACACAATGATACTGTGGGCTCCTCAAGTGTATTTCTTAGTCACTAGGCAGGACAGCATTTGAATCATCATAGAAAGATGACAAGCAGAACCATATATATATGTGTGTGTGTGTGTGTGTGTGTGTGTGTGTGTGTGTATATATATATATATATATATATATATAAAACTGTAGAAGGAGCTCACTTCTCATGCCTTCCAACACGTTAGGATAAGAAAATTCTTTCTGATATCTGTCTACTTCAAATTTCCACTGCTATGAATTAAGTCTGTGATAGACAGTTACATTAATACAAGCAGGCTAATATTACCAATATTCTAGGGAAGTTTTAATAAAATGTTTAAGATGCAAAGGATGAGACCAAATTACTAACTTGAATTAAGCAGATAATGTCAGGACGACATACACATGCAAAAACCATGAGGAGTTGGAGGGTGTAGTGGCAGGATTGACTCTCTCCTTCATCCTGGGTGTCCCAGGTATGAAGAGTGACCCTCTGAACACAACAAGCAGTGCACCTGTGACTTGCTGAACATATCCTCTACAGGCATCTGGAACAGCTCACCCAGGAACACTGCCTGAGTCTTCTGGCCTCTCCTACCATGCCCTGGGGTAGCCTTTTCTCAGAGCTCTGCAGCCACAGACACCATCTAGGCAATGGCATCTTCTTTCAGAGACTATAAAACCAAGGACACTGATGGTACTCCTCCACAATGCGAGACAATCAACTCTTGATTTCTGAAAGACTGGGGAAGTGGGATGGTGTGAACATCTAGCCTTGATGCATTTCCCCCGATATCCTCTGCTAAGAGCCGGTTGAATGGCTAGGATAAATCCATCCTATCCAATTTTAGTCCTGCTTTAGTACACTCTATTCTATGGAGAAAGGCTATAGTAACAGTATTGAATGGAACCGAACCCAGTGCAATAGTCTTTTCTATGCCAAAAGATAGATACTTTAAATTTGGGACCTGGGGCTATTCAGCTCTTTCCATTCTATTTCCACTGAATAGAAGTGTTCAGAGGTGGAAAGGCTGGTGCTTATTTAAAGAATCAATGTGGGCCGGGCGCGGTGGCTCAAGCCTGTAATCCCAGCACTTTGGGAGGCCGAGGCGGGCGGATCACGAGGTCAGGAGATCGAGACCATCCTGGCTAACACGGTGAAACCCCGCCTCTACTAAAAAATACAAAAAACTAGCTGGGCAAGGTGGCGGGCGCCTGTAGTCCCAGCTACTCGGGAGGCTGAGGCAGGAGAATGGCGTGAACCCGGGAGGCGGAGCTTGCAGTGAGCTGAGATCCGGCCACTGCACTCCACCCTGGGCGACAGAGCCAGACTCCGTCTCAAAAAAAAAAAAAAAAAGAATCAATGTGGCTGCCTGTGTCACAGTTCTGTATATTACAGAAATACATTTCTTTATGATTCTGCACAGCACAGCCTGGAGGGGAAAATAGCCAAGCCCCTCACTGCCTTGTACTTGCATATACCAATAGCAGCAAGGCTGTGCACCAAGACAGAGGGTTTTTATCAGGTACCCATATTTACCCACTTGTATGACAGATACATTAATTCTCTACAAAAGCCGGTGGTGATTTCCCTAATCTCAAAGAAAAATATTTTCTAGGTGTATTTTAAAAATTCATGGTCAGGCATGGTGGCTCATGCCTATAATCCAAACACTTTGGGAGGCCAAGGCAGGAGGATCACCTGAGGTCAGGAGTTTGAGACTAGCCTGGCCAATATGGCAAAACCCCGTCTCTACTAAAAATACAAAAATTAGCTGAGCGTCATGGTGTGCACCTGTAATTCCAGCTACGCAGGAGGCTGGGGTAGGAGAATTGTTTGAACCTGGGAGGTGGAGGTTGCAGTGAGCCGAGATCACGCCATTGCACTCCAGCCTGGAAGACAGAGCGAGACTCTGTCTCAAAAAACAAAAACAACAACAAAAAAATCATCTGGGGAATCAACAGTGGTCACTAATTGTGGGTTAGGCTATCAACTCTGAAGACTAAGTCTAGTAATTGCTAAAAAGAGGTTGAACATTCATGTATTCTAGATGATTTAAATGGATGCTACTTGGCTGCAGGGTAAAAGTGAAGATTTTAGCAGTCCCTCCCACCACCTGAGGCTATGGGGGAGGCACACAGTCTCCCAGGTCCGCGCGGGTTTCAGGCAACCTTTCCTCACCTCCCCCCAGGCAGCAGGCGGGGGCTCCACTGGAGGGTAGTATTTAGGCACGTCCCAGGCCACAGCAGCCATGAACCATTTGAAGTCCTTGCACTTGAGCTGCTTGCGCAGCTCCTTCTGGGCAGAGATGTCCCCCGTGGAGAGATGCCTGTACTCCGGCCGCCGCTGGTAAATGTACTCGGCAAATTCATCCATCCAGGTCTCAGCTACCCGCTTCAGGTTCTGTGCAGCAGGAAAAAAAAAAAAAGTAATTTATTGGCTTATTCATTCAAAAGGTGGTTTTTGTTGCACCAGAAATTAAAAAAAGAAAAGGAAAAGATAACGGACAACCTCAGGCAGCCCTGGTTGGTGGTTTACAAACAATGAGAGTTTTCCTAACTGCAAGGGGTATGATACAATTGGCCTGTGGCTTCGCACACATTTCTGCTTCTGGCATGGGGTTCAGTTGCCAATTTGGTAGTTAATTTATCAGAGCCAGTAAAGATTCAGCTCACTATTATACCACTTTTCTCATTTCCTCTGTTATTTCATGATTATACATTTTTTATTTTTTACGTAAAACTAAAGGTGTTGAAATTGGAGAGAATGAGATTCCTCTCAGGCATCAAATTGCTTAAAGCATTTCCAGAAACAAGAATCTAGGAAAGAATGAGGACAAACAAGCTATTATCCTTTTCCCCCAACTTTAGAGAGATCACTGAGCATTAGTACATTTAAAACTGTGTGTTCTGATGTTCTATGTGTGCAACACAGATACCAATCAGAATTTAGTAATTGACTGCATGATGAAGTGGGGCTAAAGGAAGCACCAAGTAGCCAGTCTTTTCCACAGATGTGTCCCTGGGGTAAAGGAAGCAGAAGGTCGGTTGTGGGGAATAAGCATGGATCTTAGGTGTAGGAGAGTATGTGGATTCAGTGCTGGAAGCTTAGCCCTTTTGTCAGTTTTGAAATTGAGCAAGTTACTCATCCATGCTGGGCATCAGATTCCTCACCTGAAAATGGCAACAGTAATACATACCTGCATCACGGGGGTGGCTGTAGGATTAAGTAAGGCCACACCTGTAAAGCACTTAGAATAAGTCTCCGGCACATAATAGGTACCACAAATAGTAGAGCTATTATTAGCAGTAAAAAGAGTGCAGGATTGGAAATTGGAGAGCCTGGGTGTCGGGCTGACCACACATTAATGGAATGTTCCTGTGGCCTTTAGGAAAGGCGTTAGCTGAGATGAGATGCTCTCTGATGTGCCTTCAAGCTCTGTGGTCCTAAGCAGTAGAGAGAACAACTGCGTTTGTGTAGAAGATACCAGTTTTGATGCCTCCAGCTTAAATGTGCTGCAACACATTTTCACAGGCTGGTGTCCCATAGTCTCTGCTTCTTGTGTCCTGTTCAAGTTCTTATTTCAAGTGCTTAGTTGGTGTGAGCATTGGCCCGCTCCTGTTTCTCACTTGCGCTTAGAAGATAAAATGAGCGCAATGGCCTGGAACTTTAATGAGATCCAGACATAAGTGAATCAAGTTAAAGCTAGTGATATTTAGGACAAGTGCTTTATCTTGAAAATGACTACAAAATCCTAATTCAGGCCTGGAACTATGCCCAGAGGTCTGCTGGATTTGGAGACACCATCATTGCTACTTCACTCCTAATGAGACTGTACATTTTCTTACTCCGCTCCACCCACTCCGTGCATTCAGTGTCTCCCAGCGGGCCTCTCCTGTCTGACCTTGTCCCTGCTCTTCATTCTCCCTGCACTCCTTGGGTGCTTTTAGGGGATGGTGGGCACCAGGAAGGGCTCTGTTAACACAGCAAAATGCAGAAAAGAGACAGAGCCACAAAGAAAGCTCTGATTTCTCAGTTCCCTCTGGGTTCCTTTCTTTCTAAGGTGACTGGGTGCATAGATAGGAAGATAGGGAAATGACCTGGAGAGTGTGAGAATTGTTCCTTGAGAGATTATTACTTGCCATTGCTGTGTACCCTACCATCCTGTCAGCACTGCCTGGCCCATAATGCTTTCTACTCCTTGGACTCCAGTTTACCTTAACAGATAGATGATCAGAGTCAACATGGTTTTGTAATATTCTAGCCCTTGCCACCAATTCGGAATTGCCTGATTCATTTGGGGACCAGAAAGGAAACAGATGATGTCTTGAGAGTCCTGCTCTGGGATGGCACTGTGTACTACATGCATAAAACCTCCATGTGAGTCTGTAATATCATCTTACTATTTTCATTTCATTTTGACAAACATTCTGTATGAAATGCATTCTATTTTACTTGTCCTCAGGGCACATTTTCTTTTATTTCTTTCTTTTTTTTTTTTGAGACAGAGTCTCACTTGTTGCCCAGGCTGGAGTGCTGTGGTGCGATCCTGGCTGACTGCAACTTCTGCCTCCCAGGTTCCAGCAATTCTCCTGCCTCAGCCTCCCAAGTATCTGGGACTACAGGCGTGTGCTACCATGCCTGGTTAATTTCTTGTATTTTTAGTAGAGATGGCATTTCACTGTTTAGCCAGGATGGTCTCAATCTCCTGACCTCATGATCGACCCACCTTGGCCTGCCAAAGTGCTGGGATTACAGTCGTGAGCCACCACATGTGGCCAGGCCAAATTTTTTAATGAGGATTAGAATAAAAAAAAATTAGTTGATAATATTAAAACTTTATAATCAAAATTGATTTTAGGCTGTAGTTCCCATCTTTTCACCTAAACTGCAATATTAAATAAAGTGGAAATATTTAATTTTCATCAATTTATACCTCTGTGATAAGTGAAAGTGAATACAGTTGGGGAATAGCAAAAAGCAGAAGCAAATGACCCAGGAATAATGAGAAATTGACTTTCTTAAGAAAAAATATGCCTTTAAAATTCTGGTAGCTTGCAGAAAAGATCTGTCCTTAAGGACTCTGTTGGATAAGTAAGCACTTTCAGACTATAAGTGCCATGAAGTTAGGGATAGATCTATTTACTTTTGCCTTAAAAGACCTAGCATCTTGTGTGGCTCCAGACACACGTGTGTGCTCATCTGGGCATGCTAATCATTGAATTAATGAAAGACCAGATGATGAAATGAATGCGAACAAATTCATAGTGTGCATATGTATCTATTGATAAAAGCACTGAAATGGGAACAATTAAAAACAAGTGCTGTTGCTAAATGGTAAATTTTTGTTGCTTTGGGTTTTTGAAATAGATAAGGCAATTACTGCAACACTCATAGAGGAACTAACTAATTCTGGTGCAGTCAACGGGAAATGGCTCAGAGGATCATGATAAATGCTAACCAGAATAGGCAATATCAATAAGTAAAAGAGGCAGGAGTCAGCGTGTTGGAAAGCTGTCACTAAAGGCCAAGTAGCCTCTAGTATGATTAACAAGGGAACTAACCAGGTAGCTCTGTATCATCGTGTCCTTTTCAAGTTGAAAGACTAGGTATGCTGATTTCTCAAACACTCCAAAGCAGCCAGGTGCATGGCTCATGCCTGCAATCCCAGCACTTTGGGAGGCTGAGGTGGGTAGATCACCTAAGGTCAAGAGTTCGAGACCAGCCTGGCCAACGTGGTGAAACCCCATCTGTACTAAAAATACAAAATAAAATAAAATAAAAAATTAGCCCAGCGTGGTGGCAGATGCCTGTAATCCCAGCTACTTGGGAGGCTGAGGCAGGAGAATTGCTTGAACCCAGGAGGCAGAGGTTGCAGTGAGCCAGTATCGCACACTGCACTCCAGCCTGGGCAACAAAAGCAAAACTCTGTCTCAAAAACAAAAACAAAGCCCCCCTCCCAAAAAACCACTCCAAAGCAAGTAGTGGGATCATGGACATATTCCAAGGATCATTATCCTATCATCGATTCCTTTTTTGTAGTTTTATAAGACACAGTAAAACAGAAATAATTGCACAGTAGAACATAATAATTGCAAAGATGGCAATAGCAAGTTTCCCTCTAGCTATGAGTGATACGTAAACATTTAAACATATGTAAAACATCCTGACCATTCTCTAATGTCCCCATTGGCTCATTAGACATTTTGGATTATAGATGCTCTGTTCTCTGGAATTTACTATCAGGAGAGAAACTTTCTAAAGTGTCAATTATTACATTCAAGGAATAGCCCTGACTTCTCAACTATCCAGGTGGCCGGCCAAATAAAATCTTTCTGAAGTCCTTATTCTGGAAATAATAAAACATTATGTTAGTTTGTCACTGGAATCATAAATCAGTACTTAACTTTGGGGAAAACGTTGGTACCACAGCTGAGAGATATTGCAAACAGTTGCAAAAAGAGAGTTTCATTGGTCTTTTATAGATCGTAGAGTAAATTGACCCACTCCAGGAAATAGTACAATCATATACTCATTGGAGTTCATTGGGGTATTTATGTAGGAGCATGCATACCACACATTCACATACACCGAGATAGTGGAGTAGGAGCAAAGCAATATTTCTCACTTAAACACTTACAGCTGTGTAAACACGTGCAGAATCATGAAATGGAAACATCCAATAACAGCTTGTGCCAGAGATGGTAAAAGAGAAAATAAATCAATCTGAGTAGTCCTATCTTTCTCTGAGATTGAATGAACATTGGTGGACCTGCTAAGATGTCCAAAAAAAAAAAAAAAAGTTATCAAGGAGAAAGAAAGAGTCAAGCATGAATGCCGGGAGATCTATACATGTAATTATTTACTCTTGAACTATCAGATGTTGAATCTCTAGAGGTTGCCTTATATACACAGAGCCAGGTGTTAGCTGGAGTTCTTGTTTTTTAAGGTTTAAATAAAAGTACTTTAACCTCAAGTTGCATGTCCCTGTCCTCCTGAAGATTTCTGTGGATTCCCAGGGGTGTTCACACGTTCATCCTTCACTTCGATTTTCTGTTTGTGATCCTTCTCTCCTCCTGGCATCTTGCTCCCAGCTTGCTGTCTACCTTTTGTCCTGCAGAGACTTGAATGGGGTGCACAGGTATTTTCCCTCACCTCTCAAATGTCTCTCGGTACATCAACTGGGCATAACTTTTACTGAAGATTTTCGGGCAGTAGCAGAGACTTAGATAACAAAACAGCACAGATGATGATGTAAGATGAAGTATTTGACCCCTTGGATTCTTTTCCTTTGGCTGCTAAAGGGAATTTCTTCCTGGCTAAAATTTCCTCCTTCTGTCTTTTAGCTTCCTGCCATGGTTCTGCCCAACTCAAAAATCTCTCTTATGTCTCTTTTGTGGGGC